TACCTCAAAGTTTAGTGCAAAAACGCATGATCGCACCGGCTCGCCTGGTGCGTTCCAGCCTGGGTTGAGAATTTCTGAGAGGAAAGCTTTACGAATAAATGAAAAACAGGACTGCTATTACCAATATGCAAGTTCAGGAGCGTTAGCTTTGTGGTCAAATCAAGTTTTCGAGCATGCACGCCCCACTCAGTACCAGCACCACAGATGGTTATTATAGAGTATTCGTAACTAACAAATTCAGTTTTCTCACGTCCAACTGTTTTTTTTTTCATGGCACATCTGCAGTAAATCAATATCATCTGCAGCTTTGGTGCTTAAAAAAATTACCTCCCATCAATAATTTCGCCATCGTTTTTGCATCTGATAACTTTGTCGCAGTTGTCGCCTTCATATTCGTCAGCGCAACGACATCGATCACCAGCATTACGCCATCGCCTTTCATGTTCTCGAAACATACACGATGTTCAAAAATTCAAGTTCACTAATAGTCAAATACAAAACAACATCGGAAATCTAACAGTAATTTACGGAATTTTCCGCATAAGACACTTCAACAGTCGAAACGCTAACAGAATGCCTTTGCTCTAGTAACTTCCAGAAAACACTCAGCTAATGTGTTCGTTTGCGGGTTTACAACAATAAACTAACGACATCATGCATCATATGGTGATTACTCCAAATAAGGCACGTGCGTATGTGCGTGCGCGCGAGTGTGTGCAAGTGATTGTACGTGTGTATGTGGGAGTGCAGGTGAGTGTATGGGTGTTCGGGTGAGCGTGTGTCGTGTGTTGTGTAAGTGCGTATGTGTTTTTGTACAAGCAGCAACTACTTTGACGTAATTTAATGCAGCCCACTGCTCTGATGGCAGTGAAGTACTCGAAAGCAGTTATCTAATCCACTAGTTCTCTAATATTTATAAATCGAGTAGCACACAAGGACCACTACCAACTGCTCCAGAAGACTCCTCGGTGCTGAAATTAGAAGCAGGGCTTCATGACGTTTCAGTGCCACATTCGGTCCTTTTCCAGGATCTTCACTGTAACATTCACTCCCCTTCGTCACGTACGTCAGACAGTTTTTTGAACACTCCGTGTAGGGTTTCCTTAAGTAACATTTGAAGATGGGCATCGTCCATCGGTGCTCAGCAAGATGAACAACATATCCCGCCCAGCGGATTTAATTTTTTATCGTGGCCACGACTGTTACCGGCATATACATTTGACTTTGTGTTGTGCTTTGCCTGTGATCGCGAAAACACGCTCCATTATCATGCGGTTGCGAGTCTCACCCCCTTTCCATCCTTATTTGTTCACCTCGCATAAGCCGTCGCATCTAGTAAAACAGCGCTGGAAAACTTGTATTGGATGCTATTTCTTGACACAGATGCAAAGTTTGCATGGTGCAGCGGAAAAATGGGAAAATATCAGCACTAACTGATAAACGAAAATACCTTTCGGGGCCATTCTCCAACAAGCCAAACGCTCGCAGTTTCGACCATCCCATGGCGCCTGACAAATGCATTCGATTTGTTTCGAACCAATGGCAATAGTTCCGTTATG